TCTCTACTATGCAATGTGGCTTCAAGAGACATTCTCCAACCTAGTTTATTCTATTTTTCTTTGCTATTGCTTTGATGAATATATTCTTATTGATATCTAGTAATATATAGATTTGAGAAAGTAGAAAATGTATTAGAACCAATGTGGATGTAATTTCTACCAATCATGCTACAAAACATAAATAAAGTCTTGTAAATCACACACCAAATAGGAGATGCTCTATTTTGTATATGGTTTGGCCTCAAGTTTACAAAAATAGTTGGGGTATCCTTGCTTAGTTGGTACACAAATGGTGAAGACACCCAAATGCCACAATAAGTTGCAGTGCTTGAAACAAGACTGAATTGAAGTAAGTAAAAGAAGGAAAAAAAAAAAAAAAAAAAAAAAAACAACAACAACAACAATACAGTTGTGGAGGGGGGTGTTGCACAGTGGCACATGTGAACTGGGTGTGTTTGGTTTAGTGGGTGTAATGGCCACCTCAAGAGAATGAATGAATGGCCATGAGAGGGGCTGCTGCTGCTTTACTTTGCTTTGCTTGCTTCACATTATTTGGAGCAATGGAGCCTCTGAGACAATGACGTGTTTCTATCACGCCAACAGAGGCCCTGCTCTGCTGTGTTGTTGCCTCAACCCATATATATATATATATATATATATATACATATATATATCCCTTTCCCAAGCTGCAGGGAGAATTTAATTCTTATTGCCTTTATTACACAATTATTTGTTTATTTGTTTACTTAGATTTTTCAAGTGTGTAATATATTATTCTGTCACAAGCTAAAATGAATCGTGATATGAAAATAATAGTTTAATTACTCAAATTTACAGAAGTTCTTTATATATATATATATATATATTAGGAATTGCAACTAGGGCTTAAAGCACCCACAATGATAGAGTCCTAGCTAACTGGAGGCCACTTTGTGTTGGAACTGTACTAGTGATTTGGAATGTATGGTGAAGCCATTACACAAAGGTTTTAAACCAAATGATTAAAGTTTTCCAGGTATGAACCATTTATGAAAATACCTAATAGAAATGCATCAAAAAAATACCGGAAAATGTATTACTATATTCATATGAATGTAACTTTGCTTAATCTTTCAACTCAGGTTTCAGAATTTAAGTGATTTGTTGATTCTATAAAATTAAATACAAAAACAAACATTTTGTAACTGACCTTAAGTTGTATTGAAGATAGAACCAATTTAATTTCAAAGAAAATTTTCCAAGATTATTAATGATTTATGATATAATATGTTTACAAAAATCACTAGTCTTTAAAATTTATTTTAATATATATTTTTGGTTTCCAACACTCTATTTATAATATTATATCTAATATGAAAAGGTATATTTTATATTTAATATTTAATTCAAAAAATAATTTAATTTGTGCTCTGTATAAACATTAACATAGAAATATCTAAAATTTCAAGCTTTGTCATTGAAAAATATTATTACTGTATAAATTTTTTATGATACAACTTTATAGGCTCATTAAATTTATATAGTATTTAGTTTTCTACTTAATTAGTTAAGATTTCAATAATATTGTTTTAAAAAATATAAGATAAAATTATAAATATATATAAAAAATTAATAGAAATTAATTTTTTCAACAAAATAAAACATTTAAATAATCACAAGCTAAATACTAGAGGTGCTAAAATCCATGAAGTTTTCCTATAGAATATTTTAAATGCCCACCAAATAAGATGTATATTGTGCAAAGAGGATGTTGCTCCTACTCTTCCTTAGAATTCTTATAGGAATGTTTATTAATGGTAGGTAAGTGTTCCATATTCTACATAAAATAAGTTAAAAAAATACAAGGTATTATAGTAAAATTTTATTATTATTTTTAGAATACATACTTTTTTAAAATTTATATTTAATTAGAGTTTTATTATATATACATATATATTTAATATTTAAAAAATTAAAAAAAATAATGTGATTATTTTTTTTCACAAAGATTAAATATTTTGAAACATACAAAATTTTTTGTATCATTCAAGAATCATAATTTAGCTTTACATTAGATTGTAAATGTATATTAGTAGCAATTATAATTTTTTATATAAAAATTTAATTATTTTGATTATTCTTGCCAAATTTGTAAGATTTAATTCTTTGGTAGAAGAACTACCATTTCAAAATCTTAGAGTTGAACACAAATCAAGTGTTAATCTGGACAACCTAAGTTGGGAAGGTCCCAAAATTCCCTCGTTTGAAATCCCTCAACAATACAAGGATGTGGAAGAATCCAACATAGAAGAGTATAAATTATGGGATGATCTTAGCAAGTTAAAGACAGATTTCTACTAAATATTTAATTAAAAAAAACCATATAAATACATATTATAATTAATTGCAACTCTATATCTATTATATTTTTATCCAAATAAATATATCATAAAGTAATGTATAAATATTTTTAAATATTGAGCTTTTATTACAAATAAATGTGATAGTAGAATTAATGGCTTTTTTTTTGCACTTTTATTGTAATAGTTGGCTGCAACGTCCAAAGTAGAACTATTATATGTATGTGTAGGATTAAAGATGGTAGTAAATACTCATCTATTTCCAATTTTTTATAATTTAATATAAAGGTAGTTTGGTTAAAAGTGTTTTTCTTGATAACATATTTTTTTTATAAAATAATTACTAATAGTAATATCAATTTCTTATTCTATATTTAAAAATAAGTAAAATTTAAAATTAAATTAATTAATTTTTTTCTTCTTATTTTTTCCAACTCTCACTATTAGTTACTTATTAGAGATTTTGATAGTGCTTATTTTTATTTGATAAGGGTTCTATTCTATATTTAAAAATGATATTACATAAGAATTGTTAATAGAATATAAAATCAATGAACTTATTTTTTATAATTAGAATACCAATATATAAATTTTTATATGTTATATCTTAAATCTTGCAAAAATAAGAAAGAATTAATTAGAGTTATTTTTTTGTCTATATAGTTGCTAAAAATATTTTAAGTAATTATCTATTTTATGTAGAGATTAAATCATATAATAAATCAATTCTACTAGTGTGACTAATTAAAGCTTGATTTTTTTGAATCATCTTTAATTTTAATTGTTTTACTAGTTAAGCATACCATCTTTGTTTGTTGTGAAATTTCATCATTTTCTTTTTGTTTGAATAAAGTACTAAGTTCTTTTTAAATTGTATGTAGTTGTCATCCCTCACATCGTCTTTAGCTCCCCTACATATTTCCAACATAATTAAGGTTTCCATATATATATATATATATATATACGTACACACACAATTCTTTTTTCACATTTATTTAAATTTATATTTCTTTTCTGTTGTCATATTGTATGTGCCAACAAAGGGAAGGCAACAACTTCAGTGAAGACAACATCAAACAGCATGGCTCATGGTTTTGCACTCGGGGTGTGGACAGTAGCAAGAAACACCATCCTCTGCCCCCTCCCCCACCACCCAAATGTTTTCCATTAGGGCTGTGATATGGCAGTTCTGGTGCTGCAATTCAGAAGTGGAAGAAAAATGGGCAGGGTCAGGGCAACAAATGCTGCAGAATATTGAAGAAGAAGTTAAGTTAGAAGAAGAATGGGGCTAGAAGGTTCTAATCCCCTTGCTGCTACTGCCCGCAGTTCATTATTGTGTTGCTCTTGCACCCACCGACTCCATTTAATGAGGGGCCATACATTGTGGCTCCCACACCCACACTAGTTTCCTGCCCTTGTCTGTGAGGGCCATGGATAAGATGCTGATCCCTGTGTTTCAGGTGTGTCCAGCTCAGCGTTACGAGTGTCCACCTCAGTATCACATTTTTTTTCACCTTCCTTCCTGCAGAGAAATACTTTGTGGGTTGAGTTTGTATTTATCAAAGAGGAACTTGGGATTTTGATAGAGAGGTGGTCTAGTAATTATATTATGCTTCTTTATGCATGATTTGGACCCATTTCTTTGGTTCGGTTTTTTTGTAGAAAAGTATATTCTGAATCGTTTTCCTAGGCATGATCATAAGCTGCCTATTTTCACTCTTTTACGTGTATCATTGTCCTTTTTTAATTTTTTAATTTTTTTTACTTTAAATGAAGATGATGACTAGTTCATTAATCCATTGACAATGACTTAGCAGCAGTTCACAATATGTATTCGTCTTGAGCAGAAGAAAGTAGGCGTTCCAGTTGTCAATCCACAAAGATATTTCATACCGACTAAGTGACTTATATATGTATTAATGTGTGAGTGTGTGTGTGTGGTTTAATTCACAGGTCCATTCACTGGACAATCTAGTCGTAATCAACTACATCATTACACGCATAATGTTTTGCAGCAAGAACTAGACGTCTGATCTACATCAACAGCTTCAAATTTGTTACAGTAGCGAAGATTAAACAACAGAGTCTGATATTGATCAAGGTTGTCTGCTATCCAAAGTTCCTCATGATATTCAAATATAAGACAGGATAGCTTTGCTTTTGAAATCTAGATCAGGAATGAACTCTAGACACCCTGACCCAACACCTGCACGACGCTGGCTGGAGTGGGTCATCAGAGCACAAGATTTGCAGGTGAATTCGCAGGTCAAATTATTAAAGCAACAAAAAAACTCGAAACAGCCAACGAAGACCTGATGTGCGGCCAAGAAGAAATCCATGTGAGATTCAGCTCATACCGCACAAGATAACAACAGTTCATGTAGAGCTCCAAGAGGATGCCGATCGTGTATCCATCAAGATCTGCTACAATGCGCTACCAAAGTGAGGGGAAGAATGTGGTTGACTTGGTGTGTGTCCAGACTGATGACAAAGATCTGAGACTGTTTACGGCTGTGTTAATTCGGCGATGCGTTTCTGGAACATGGGCTACGATTGTCAGAGTGCCGGGCCCGCGATTCTGACACCGGGATCCGGCAGTCCCAGGCACCGCAGCCATTGCTGCACTAAAGCCCTGGACGGGACGGGGGGGGGAGGGGGGTGTGTGAGGGGATGCGTAGGCAATGAAGGAAACGAACTGCAGGTGGCCCCATACCGATGTTGTACTGGGCGGTTGAAGAAGATAGAATCCCGCATTACCTTGAGACCTCTTGGATGTTGCTGTTTTAATAGAGCTCCCACCGGATTTCACTTGAGTGCCGGTGTTGGATTGTGTGATCGGTTTCATGCGAGTTGAGGGACGCTGGTTGCGTGGACGTGGAACAAGTTTGCAGCACCAGACGCAAACTGTGTTTTGGGATGCGATTTTGGCTGGTTTCTGGGGCACTGCTCTGCGGCTTGCTTTCGGGTCTGTGTGGAGAACTAGGGACATTGTAAGTGAGTGACCTGGAGTACTTGAGCCAGAGGTTTCGTTTCCACCCGCCAGTTTCGAAACCCTGCTGGAAAGCGGCCATTTATTGGAGCTAGGGTAGAATCGGCTTCATCCTTCAACTAGTTTCTTATTTTAAGAGTCCCAACGTGATTCAGAGGAAGCTAGTACATGGGCAGAGCGAGATTGGTTGTCTTGGAATGAGCACTTTCAACTCCACTACAAGCGCGGCCGCCACTGAAAGGTCTTAAATACGACGCTACTAGCAAGGTGAATATATTTTTTTGTTCTGAAATCAGCTGGATTCACTAATATCTGGTCATTGTGATCGTTGTATCCACGTTCCTGTGAATCTAGGGCAGTTTTGTGCAGATCAGTTTTTTTGAAGGTTTGTGGAGTGCAACGTAATTCAACCGTATGCTCACTACTCAATCCCACGAATATTGCCAGGGCATGCAGTGTCCATAGTCTGCCACTTGAGTATCGAGCTATCTTAAATTATTGCAGTTTAATGGGCTGCTGATGATTGATAGAGTCCGTGCTGGAACAGCAATGATCATGGCTCAGCCTTTGTTTGCATTTAAATTTATGTAGAGATGCCCGCTCCTCTGAACACGACAACGTGTGAAAGATACAAATGCTTGCAGGTATGCATTGCAGCCTGCATTGAACTCTTCAGAAACTGTGATTGAGCTTGCGCTTCTGCACAGCTAACTGTGCCGACGTTCGGATGACTCGCTTCTTCCTGTTCTTCATGGACCAGTCTCTGGAGTTCTGAGTTGGGTCCAAGGAGTCGCTAGCGACGCTCACGTTTCTTATTCAATGACAGAATGCGAGGATTATCTCAAGTGACCTCCGATTGATTCCCGAAACCATGTACACTAGATTGAGACAAGCTCGTAGTGACTATCAAGATCATAAAGGTGAACTCTACTCTGAGGCTAGCCAATAGTTCCTGAGATCCTTGAAACGTATTATGTAACCATGCTCGGGTCGCCGCGAAGATTTGGTACAATGGCACCAACAAGGTTGATGGTCATCGCAATGTCGCTGTTATCTCTTGCATGTTTTTATTGTAGTGTCTCAGCTCAGTCGAGCAAGACAGACATCGTAGCGTTGCTGAGTTTTAAAGAAAGCATCACCAACCTCGCTCATGAGAAGCTCCCTGACTGGACATACACGGCTTCCTCTCCGTGCTTGTGGACGGGGATCACTTGCAACTATCTCAACCAGGTCACGAATATTTCACTCTATGAATTCGGATTCACGGGCTCCATCTCCCCCGCCCTCGCATCGTTAAAAAGCCTAGAGTATCTAGACCTGAGCTTGAACTCTTTCTCCGGAGCCATTCCAAGCGAGCTTGCCAACCTTCAGAACTTGCGAGTTCTAGACCTCAACTCAAATAACCTTCTCTCGGGGACCATTCCCGAGAATTTCTGGGACGGTCTCGTGAAGCTGGAGTACTTGGACTTGAGCTACAACATGATCTCGGGGAGTATCCCGGCAAAGATTGGCAATTTGAGGATGCTGAGCACTTTAATCCTCGCGGGGAACTCCTTCACCGACGTAATTCCCCAGCAGCTGGATGGGTTGGTGAACCTGGTGCAGTTGGACTTGAGCATGAATTCCTTTGAGGGCGAGCTTCCGTTGCAGCTGTCTCAATTAGTGAACTTGGAGTACATTTCTTTGAGCTCGAACAGGTTGACGGGTGCGCTGCCCACGTTGAACGAAGGCATGTCGAAGCTCCGGCATATCGATTTCAGCGGCAATTTGTTCTCCGGACCGATATCGCCCTTAGTCTCTGCATTGTCGTCGGTTGTACATTTGGATTTAAGCAATAATCTATTAACGGGGACTGTGCCTGCCAAGATCTGGACCATTACAGGACTGGTGGAGCTTGACATCGGGGGAAACACGGCCTTGACGGGAACCATTCCGCCTGCAATCGGCAACTTGGTCAATCTACGGAGTTTGTACATGGGCAACTCCCGTTTCGAAGGGCCCATTCCGGCGGAGCTTTCGAAATGCACCGCATTGGAGAAGTTAGATTTGGGCGGAAACGAATTCTCGGGCAAGATTCCAGAATCGTTGGGTCAGCTTAGAAACCTCGTCACGTTGAACTTGCCAGCGGTCGGGATTAATGGATCCATACCGGCGTCTCTCGCAAACTGCACGAAGCTCAAGGTTTTGGATATCGCCTTCAATGAGCTTAGTGGAACTCTTCCAGACTCGCTCGCGGCGCTTCAGGACATCATATCATTTTCGGTGGAAGGCAACAAGCTAACAGGGCTGATTCCATCATGGCTCTGCAACTGGAGAAATGTTACCACGATCCTCCTCTCCAACAACCTCTTCACCGGGTCGATCCCCCCGGAGCTCGGCACCTGCCCGAATGTCCGCCACATAGCTATCGATGATAACCTCCTCACGGGTAGTATTCCTCCGGAGCTTTGCAACGCGCCCAACCTTGACAAAATCACGCTGAATGACAACCAACTATCGGGAAGCTTGGACAACACTTTCCTCAACTGTACTCAGACAACTGAAATCGACCTCACCGCCAACAAGCTATCTGGTGAAGTGCCGGCCTATCTCGCAACTCTGCCGAAGCTAATGATTCTATCCCTTGGGGAGAACGACCTAACGGGAGTCCTCCCCGACCTGCTGTGGAGCTCGAAATCTTTGATTCAAATTCTCCTATCGGGAAACCGGCTCGGCGGGAGGTTGTCCCCTGCCGTGGGGAAGATGGTCGCTTTAAAGTATCTTGTGCTCGACAACAACAATTTCGAAGGCAACATCCCTGCTGAGATCGGTCAACTCGTGGATCTCACTGTTTTGTCCATGCAGAGCAACAATATATCCGGGTCCATACCTCCGGAACTCTGCAACTGCCTCCACCTCACGACTCTCAACTTAGGCAACAATTCCCTGTCGGGGGGTATTCCTTCTCAAATTGGGAAGCTTGTGAACCTCGACTACTTGGTTTTGTCGCACAACCAGCTCACAGGACCAATTCCTGTCGAGATCGCATCGAACTTTCGCATCCCCACCTTGCCCGAGTCTAGCTTTGTACAGCATCATGGCGTGTTGGACCTCTCCAACAACAACTTGAATGAGAGCATCCCGGCTACTATTGGTGAATGCGTGGTCTTAGTAGAGCTTAAGCTCTGTAAGAATCAGTTGACGGGTTTGATACCTCCCGAGTTGTCGAAGCTCACTAATTTGACAACGCTAGATTTCTCTAGGAATAAGCTCAGCGGCCACATTCCTGCAGCGCTTGGGGAGCTTCGCAAGCTTCAGGGTATCAACTTAGCCTTCAACCAGTTGACAGGGGAGATTCCAGCTGCGATCGGGGATATTGTGAGCTTGGTGATATTGAACTTGACAGGCAACCATCTCACAGGAGAGCTTCCCTCGACGCTGGGAAATATGACGGGGTTGTCCTTCCTGGATGTGAGTGTGAATGAACTAGTTGGGGTGATCCCCGCAACCTTGTCCAACCTCATCTCTGTCGTGGGACTTGAAGTGCAGGAGAACTATTTCTCGGGAACCATTCATGGTCTCTTCTCGGAAAGCTCCGCGTGGCACCAGATGCAGACACTCAACTTGAGCTACAACCTCCTCAGCGGCGAGATTCCGGCCACCATCGGCAACCTATCAGGGTTATCGTTTCTCGATCTGCGAGGAAATCATTTCACGGGGGAGATACCAGACGAAATTTGCAGTCTTGTACAGTTGGATTACTTAGATTTATCTCACAATCACCTCACGGGAGCATTTCCAGCCAGTTTGTGCAATCTCATCGGTCTGGAATTTGTGAATTTCTCGTACAATGTCTTGTCTGGGGAGATACCCAACAGCGGAAAATGTGCTGCATTTACGGCGAGCCAATTTCTCGGGAACAAGGCGCTGTGTGGCGATGTCGTGAACTCTCTTTGCCTAACTGAGAGTGGATCAAGCTTGGAGATGGGCACGGGGGCCATTCTGGGGATCTCTTTCGGAAGCTTAATTGTAATTTTGGTTGTGGTGCTCGGAGCACTCCGTCTGAGGCAGCTGAAGCAAGAGGTAGAAGCCAAAGACCTTGAGAAAGCAAAACTTAACATGAACATGACCTTAGATCCATGCAGCTTGAGTTTGGACAAGATGAAGGAGCCTCTGAGCATCAATGTCGCAATGTTTGAGCAGCCATTGCTTCGTCTCACACTCGCCGACGTTCTCCGTGCTACCAATGGCTTCAGCAAGACAAACATCATCGGCGACGGCGGATTCGGGACGGTGTACAAAGCGCACCTCCCCGACGGACGCATTGTTGCCATCAAGAAACTGGGTCATGGGCTCTCCCAAGGCAACCGGGAATTTCTCGCGGAGATGGAGACTCTCGGTAAGGTGAAACATAGGCACCTGGTGCCATTGCTGGGATACTGCTCCTTTGGTGAGGAGAAGCTTCTGGTTTACGATTACATGAAAAATGGCAGCCTGGATTTGTGGCTGCGAAACCGAGCAGATGCGCTTGAACACCTAGACTGGCCAAAACGGTTCCGCATCGCGCTTGGATCGGCCCGCGGGCTCTGCTTTCTCCACCACGGATTTATTCCGCACATCATTCACCGCGACATTAAGGCAAGCAACATCCTTCTGGACGCTAACTTCGAGCCCCGAGTGGCAGATTTCGGACTGGCAAGGCTCATCAGCGCATATGATTCCCATGTTAGTACCGACATTGCCGGCACTTTTGGTTACATTCCTCCGGAGTATGGCCAGAGCTGGCGATCCACCACACGTGGCGATGTTTATAGCTACGGTGTGATTCTTTTGGAGATGCTGACAGGGAAAGAGCCGACGCGTGATGACTTCAAAGACATCGAAGGGGGAAACCTGGTCGGCTGGGTGCGGCAGGTGATCCGGAAGGGCGATGCGCCTAAAGCGCTTGATTCTGAAGTCTCGAAAGGGCCGTGGAAGAACACGATGCTCAAGGTGCTACACATTGCCAACCTGTGCACAGCGGAGGATCCCATTCGGCGTCCCACTATGCTTCAAGTGGTGAAGTTTCTCAAGGATATCGAGGACCAGGACCACGTATAGCCTTCGTCCGTCATTTCCACCTTGGCAAGCAATTAATCCTCCCACCTCCCATGCTGTTCACGTCGTGCGACTCCTGCGGTGGAGTCACAGACTACTATTTCAACATTCGAAAGTTTCTTTTGGTTTGCAGGACGGAATTCGTAGACCGCAGATTTCATACGTTCACAATCGTTTCGCTGGCTCTAATTCTTCTCTCAAGGCCATTTAATTTTAAGGTAGGTCTCACACGATCCATCACAACATCTACTCTTGCAACATTTGCAAGTGCCATCTTTCCGTTCAGCTCTACATCGAACATGCTTCTGATTCCTGTATTCCAATCACGTCTGTCTGCGCAGCTCCCTCGATGCTTCCACACATGAAGCGTGGCTTTGTGAACCCGCTCTCGTGTCCTCCTCAGGATGTAGGTGCTACACTTTGGTTGTGTTATGAATGGAACATAATTATTACACAGGTTTGTATCATTTATCAGACTCGCTGTACTGTACAGAGCACGGAGATGAAGAGAAATTACTGTAGCTCCTAGTGGCATTCTCGAAACATTGAGCGTTATGCAACGCTCCTGCACTGAGATCTTTATGTATGAGTTAGATCGTAGAAGATTGATTGATATGATATCAGAGTATCCATCGGGGAATTCATTTGTGTAGCAGCTTGCGGTTACCATTAGGCTCAATAAAAAACTACCCTCATGCATATAATTCAAATTACCACATAGCACCGTTCTCTCTGTCGTCGCCACAAGCTGAAAAGTTACTTCTAGAGCAAATTTTCCCAGTGATAGAACCTCATATCAAACACCGATTGATTAAAGATTCCTATCCATCCATCTGAGATACCTACCACATCATACTGAATTGAACGTCCTGAAGTCTCACGCAGCGAGAAACAGGGAAGTCTCGGGATTGGGGCTGGAAACTTTCGATGTCCACCGAGCACATGAATCTGTGTACCAATCTATCAGTCGCCAGAAAAAGTATTTCGGACGTTCCTTACAGCCTTCCAGAATCATCTGACAAGGCCACTGACCGGCTTCGATTCAGGCTCATCAAACCATTAAAAACTGAAACTCCACATGTATGATCTTCACACAACTTCGTGCAGTTTGTGAAACATAGTCTGTGATTGCAAGCATCCACGTGATCTGATACACGAGATCACGTGGAATTGTCTTACACTTTGTCCCTTGGAATGAAGGATGCATCAGATATTTCTAACGCACCACACTCTCAAATAATATAATAAATAAATAAATAAATAAATATATTGGTGGAAACTTGTGCTGTTACAAAAAAAATATTGTAACCTATGTGTTTTAAATTAACCTTTTGTTTGAAGCTTCATACGAAGTGAAACTCCATGTTGTATGCTATTCTACTATATTCCAGGTTGTTGTGTTTCTGAGCTCCACACCTAGTGATCTCATAGTGCTACTCTCATCAATTTGTGGCAACAACACCCAGATTTTGATCTCTAATTGATCAAAAGTTGATCAAAAGTTGAGTTATTGAAAACAATGAGATATGCAACCAATCGAAGATGGTTTTTGTCTGTGATTTATCCCATTCATTCATCCCTGAACTGTTTTATAAGAAATACATAAATGTGTGTGTTAAGAAAGAGAGAAGGGGGCACCTTTTCTTAGACTTCAAAGCCATCTAAAAATGAACACCTTAAAGCAAGATGAGATATAAGAATAACTAAGTCAAATTACATGAAAGGCCATGAACCCGAACATGATTAAAATTGACAAAAAAAATGGATAAAGTTGAGAATGATTTCACTCTTTCTCTATACTAAGAAGTAACATTGAAGTCATTATTGAAACCTTTTGAGAAGAATTTGATCTTGATGGGGACCTTACAGTTGAAGAAAAACTATTTCAATAAGAAATTGCTATTTAAAAACGATTGAAAGAGGTTTTATAAGATGCTGACAATGTTGCGTTCAAAGACACAACCCTAACAGTTGAATACATCTTCGAACTGTTAGAAACTAAAATAAAATATTAATCACATACACTAATATTCAATAATAAATAATTATTGAAATTCATTGTAATTTATTATAACAAATGAAGAAGCTTAGACTAACTAATACAATGGATATTGGGTTCTATAATGTAAATTAAGCTTGTAGAAATGTTTAGAATACAAGCTTATGTAACACTAAGAAAATGGCACACTAAGAAAGTTCATATTTATTAGATTGACTTTGGTTGATGATGTAAGAAAAAGATTCACAAAATTATTACAATCATCTGACTTAATTGCCATCATCAATCACCTAAATCGTGTTTTGCAGTATAAAAATTGACACAACAATTGCATTGAATTTTCATGCTGGTTTGGTTCCATGATGAAATTATTTTTGTAAATCATAATGTTTTCCTTTAAATAAATGTTTTAAAAAATAATATTTTAATTTTATTGCTTATCTATTTTAAAATCATATATAATCTCTATCTTGTATTACATTATAGTACAAGAGATATCAATTTGAATTAAAAATGATTAAATGTAAGTATTACAATTGTTCCATCTAACAAATTATCTCTGTTGAGTTAATCACATTTGATTGCCATTCCGATATGATAAAAACTCAAAAATTTGCATAATTAGGCTTTGGACTATGCTTTTAATTTTAATCTTAGCTTGATTTGTGAATTTTTGATTCCAGCCATGATTGATTGCCATTTTTTTGCTGTTGATTATACAATTTAATTTTAAAAAAACACATGCTGTTAACAAGAAATATTAAATAATTTAGGAAAACAGAAAAAAACTCCATCTATATTGTGAAGTGCTCGTTTTAAATTTCTGCTTTGTCAAAGACAAGTTTACATAGTTAAGGGGATGGAAAAAATAAAATAGAAACTAAAATAAAATGCAAATATTTTGATAAAGTAGCCACAAAGTGAAAACGCACCTTTGATCTTGAGAATTTGGTAAGCCACGACACATTCAACTCCTGCCACGTCACAATGCCCAGTCAGCATAAGTCCACGCGGGAAACGTCACTTCAAAGCACGCTGTCAGGACGGACGTGGTTTCGTTTTCATCTACTTATTTGGATGATCATTCATCACTTTTGCGGGAAACAGGAGGAGGAGGTTCGAAGGCTTCCACCTCTCGGCGTTCCGAGATCCACACGTCCCCTGCCCATCGATCCACCAGAGCCTCAGCTGCACCGACTCTGAGCACTCAATTCGGTCCTGATTCATGGAAACGCGACGCATCCACAGATTACTTCGAAATCAGAGAAGAATCGAACGAGAATTGTTCCGTGAGGAGGTTTTTCCTGAGGAGCGAGTGACCGCGGAACTGGTGAGTGAAGTTTCTTTGAAGAGGAGGATTTTACTGTTTTCTGTGGACGACTAGTTCGCAGCTATGAAGGACTCAGAAATTTTAAAAGATGGAGCCGACTACACGGTGGATATGGACGACATGTTTGCGAATCCCAGCAAGAAACGGAACCCTCTTGTACTTTGTGGTGAGGTTCATCTACTTTTGTACGTGAAGTATTGTGGGATTTTCTTGTTGGAGAATGAAGCATGAGGTGTCTGAAATCAATGTTCAAGCGAGAGTAGTGGGTTTCCAATTTTCTCTTGCATTTCATGTGTTCCTGCTTCATTGATTCTGATGACTTCCTCGCTAATTGTAATTGTGATTGTAATGCTTTGCCAACCTAATTGTCCGGGCTGTGTGTCATCGTGTTGCTCTTTCGAAATGCATTCTGGTGATAAATCGAAGTCGTGGATATTTACATTTGCTGCTCATATTAGTGCACTTTGTCTTTAATTCACTACACTTGGTGTAGTATTTTCCATTCACACGGTTAACTTAACTCCCTGCTTTGGTACATTGTTTTAGTAACCTATTATCGGTCGCTTCTCGTCTTATAAGTACGATAATTGATTGCTGAATAGCTGATATCAATACAAAACGAAATGCTGTGTTCATGTCTTGGTTCAAGTGGTTTCAGAAGAGAAGTTGGATGTTTGTGTAATATGAGCCTCGGCCACATAAACTTTTCTGGATTTTGCACTTGGAGATTTGGCTAAATGGGTGATAAAACACGAGACTGAGGGGATTTTGTATGCTTTGTAGGTGCACTTGCCACTGCTGGTGTGCTAGTGGGAGGATTAGTATCTTTCCGCCAGGGTAACAGAAACATGAGCCAGATGTTGATGCGCGCTCGAGTTGGATTTCAGGCAGCAACAGTGGCTCTCATGGCTGGGACTGTATATGTCCAAGGTAGAGCTCCCTGAAGGTCGCGATAATGTTGAAGTCAGCACCACACAAGATCTTTTGCATTTGACAAATAGAGGCTCCTGCTTCGGCTCTTCCAATGGACACGGGGTTGTTGATTTCAGGTTACTTAATCAGCTCAAGAAGCTAATCAATTTTCATATTCTCAATTAGTAGTGGGCATAGATATATGCGTTTGATCTTACACTTGGGGAAACTGTGGTAGTATTTATTATTTAGGTGCTTAGAAGCATAGATTATAATCTTCATCTTGTTGACATTTATTTTCCCGTCGTCTGTATCACAAGGGTACCACGAAGGTATACATATATGCAATGCGAATTTGAGTTGGTAGTGTCGTGAATTTGAAGTTCTAGATAATTGCAGGAATCAAGTTTTCCAATACCAAGGAACTGAGGTATGAAATTTAGAAGTTTTTTTTTATATTCCTACTCTTTGGAGTTAATTCTGTAAATCTTGACTTCATTTTCTGCAAGGCAATTTAGGGGTCAAGTTTGTGAAAGAGAGAAACTAAAAAACTGGCTGGGAATGCACGTCATACTGTTGAAGTAAATGGTCACGTTAAATTCTGTTACAAAATTGCGAAATTAGTCATAATTTTTCAAGGAAGTAAGACTGCAAATAGATTGCGAGTACAACACTATATAGAAAATAGCACTTCTATACTGACATCCCACGAACCCTTGGTTACCGACACAGGGGCCACCCTGCTCTCTGGACCAGGATTCTACTTCCTGCAAGCAAAGTTGGATAAGCACGACGAATCACACTCGAGACGTCACAAGTTTAGGGCACAATTCCACCTTCCTATCCGAAATTGACACAAGACGGGAGCTAACTTGTATACGCAACTTTGAATGCCGCATGAAGTCTTAATGGCGAGACCAGCTCTGAGCCTCGTCCATGGGTTTGTTTACATTAACCAAGGGATTGGTTAATAACCTCAATCAAAAGCGGATATGATAGAAAATAGATTGCTAATAGCCAATATGGAGTCTAAAGTAGAATTTATTAAGATACATGTCCATATTTGAGATGTTTTTTTGTATCTAACATTAGACGACGACCAATGGTAGTATCCCTTGTCAAAAAATAAAAAACTTTATTTCATTAATAGTTCTTAAAACATATATATGTATATGTTATTAAAATGAAATAATAATAATAAGATCAAAAGAGTAGAAAGAGAAAAAAAGAAGAAGAAAAAGTGTAGTAGGAAGAAGGAGAAGGGGAAAAAAAGAGATTAGAAAAAAGAAGAAGAAAAAGAAAAAGAAAATGAAGAACAGAAAAAAAAAAGAAAAAAAAAAAGAAAAAAAGAAGAGAAGGTGATAAGGAAGCTAAGAGGCTGTCCAAGAATGGCGGCAACCTCTTCGTTGATAGGAATCCGGTTGCCTAGATCCCTGGGTTTTTTGCCTGGATCAGAGTGCTGTTGGACCTCACTCTCTTTTATTTTATTTTATTTTATTTTTTCTGTTCATGTCGTTACAAGCTCCATGCTATATTTCCTTTGCATCATCGGAGCGCTGCGGTGCAATACTTTTTCTTCCATTGTTGTTTTTTGTGTATGTTGGTGTTTCAAAGGGTAGAGCTCTATAAGGCTCTTCTATTGCCCGTTCTTGCTATGAAGCAGCAAAGGTGTCATTCTTCATTTCGTTGCTGCGGTGTAGTAACCGTGTATTGCGATGTTCCTAATTTCTTCCATGTGGCCATTGTGTGGTGGTCAAGGTAAGCAAATAAGCAGCGAGCTCGTCTACGTTCCTTCTCTGCTGTTATCGAGCATCGAGGGGTTAGCTACTACGTGGAATTGAGTTGATCGGAGGCGACCCAATTTGAAAATTGTCTCCAGAGAGAAGCAAGTTGGTATTCAAGCGCAGCAAGGAAGTATCGTCGACTGAAGTGTGTGAAGCTTGAGCATCGTCTAGTGTCAATGACAACATCAATGTGAGCAATTTGGACCTGCTATAGAGGTATTGCTGAAGTGGGTGGCAAGATTTGTTGGTGATGGTTGATGATGTCTAAGCAAAGGATTTCTTGCACGGTGTGCAGAGAATGACCAGGCAGCGGATTCACTAGTGTCTATTGTATGTTCCACTACTAATGTGGCGAGGTGACTATATTCATTGCAACTAGACTTGTTGCACCACTGCACAAAGACTCAATCCTCACAATTCTTCCTTGACAACAATGTTAACATCTTTTGATTTATCTTACAACAACCTCAATGGTACGATCCCTCCAGAACAATCTCTCCAGAATTCATCTCCCTGACTTAGTTTAGTAGATTAAACTTCTCTTTTAATAATCTGAGTGTGAAAAGCTGTCCACAAACCTATGGGATGCTTGAACCTCCCTTCATTTGGAGAAAATTCTCTGTTTTGTGGAAGTCATCGACATTGCAGTGGAAGCCGCCGTGGCCTTTTGTCCTTGTGTTTTTTTAGCACATTAGGTTCTTCCATGAGCACAAATTTGATAGAAAAGCACATATAATCCACGTCACTTAGTTGGTTCTATGACGTTGAATTGAACCCCAACTCATGGGCTGCTCAAGTGCCGCAAGCAGCATCTATTCCAATGATTATGTTCGAGAAGCCCTTACTCAATCTTACAAGCCACGAATAGCTCATTGCAGATTTACAGGCTTAATCGTAGGAGCACCATTGAGATATATTACACGCAAATAATCAAAGTGTAGCACCTACATCTAATCAAAATAAACTTGTCTAGGGAGATTCAAACATGGAAAAAGACTATCTGCATGAATTTTCACGTTAGGATCACACAATTAAGGATCACACAATTAACTGTCTTCTAATCAACTAAAACAACCAAGAAAGGTGCAATGCCTCCTACATTCTATCAAATAAAATATTACAATTTATAATTCTATATTATTCATTCACTATCTCTTCTCCTCTCCTACCTTATGACGACAATAGATAATACTGCACTTTCTTAAAAGACTGTATAAAACATTTCCTACTCAATCATTAGAATTCTCCAAAACTAACCGTCATTCCTAGTAATTTGCTTCACACAATTGCAGATTCTACAATCTTTTTTTTGGCTCACTCTCAACTCTCAAAAATCAATGCATCATAATTCTTCCAGTTATATCCATACTTCATAAATATCTCCCATCATCAACTTTCCAATCTTCTAGTTATAATTCAGCACATAATAAATTTAATTTTTTATTTAATATCATCTAAATCAAATCTTTCTTTCATTTTAAAATTTCACTTCACATTATTCAAATTCTATCCATTACTCTTCTTCTACAAAGAAAACAAAGAAACAAAGAGATAGCACCAAGCTTACCCTTGCTCATGACTATCACAATTTGGCCTCGTCTATTTCTTCTTCAAACTACTTATGCTTTTTTCAAAATGTCAACAACTACACAATCGATGATAATTATTTTTTTTTGATTACATCATCCCTCTCGTCTTCTAAACTATCCATTCATCAGTTTACTAGCTTTTCTTAATCTTACATATTATGTATTGTAAAACATAAAATATCCTACCTATTCTATATAGCCTCACTCCTAACTGTGCAGCATCCTTGCAAGCACGGAATTGATAAAAACAAACTTCTTCAATAGAATCTTCACAAAGTTTCTAACCCTTTAATTCACTAGATTGATCAATCCCAATATTTTCTGTGGGTGGTTCCATTGATTCTAGTTCTAATGATAAGTCTTCATCCTCTTCCAATACTTCCATTGGCTCTTTTATCAATTGGGTTGATAAGTCTTCATTATATGCTCCCAATTCATGAACTTGACCCTCTAACTACAGGATCTTGACATCTTTTACTTCCAAATAGTGATGTTGTTGCCTCATTTCTCTTTTAATTCATCAATTGTTGAAACGGGTGGAATAGACATCAATGACTGACCAATATTCGCTAAATTATCCTCCAATTTTGTCACTATAGCCTTCAAGGTTTCAATTTCTACTCGTAATGTTGTCGTTTCAATTCGATACTAGTCATCCAATGTCTGCTTTTTCTATTCCAGTAATGCTATCTTTTCTTGTTTCATTTCTAATTGACACTTTATCTTTTCTTGTTCTAACATTGGTGTACTACAAATCTAGATTAGGTCTTGCCTTTGGCCTTCTATGATATATTGAATGTGTGTTTTTTTTTTTTTTTTTTTTTTTTTTTTTTTTTTTTGTTTCCAAGCTTCTAGTTTCTTCTCAAATTTACACTTTAATAGCAACTTGGATTTTACATTTTCCTAGATAATTTGATTGTATTCCTTACTTTGGTGGCTTTACTCCAATATTTTTTTCTGCTCGCCTCCAATTGCTACCTTAAATTTCCTTCTCGATCTAGTTTACTCACCGTAAGTTGTAATTGAGAAATCTGAGCCAATATGACATCCTTGAGATTCACTCTTTTTAGTATTCTATCATGTGGAAATACTAATTGATTTATGTCTATTAAAATTAGAACTTTGGTTTTGACCTTGATCGCCAAATAAATTAGAATCTGCTCTGATGTAATCTCTGGTATAGCCTCCTATCTCAACGAGTTACTTGATTCTCCAATTTTGTGTACCACGACCCCTAGACTAGCTGTCAATGCCGTTAAACTCGGAATACTTAATTGAGGCACTGGACAAGGCATATTTTTCTCCCTTACTAATAGTGTTTGAGTCAATATATATACAATCATGGAGTATACATAATTAGAACAAAGCAAAGACGCAAATTTTTCTATCTTCCGCTTGACTCCCATCTCCGCATAGATTCTAGTGGCTACAAAAGCTATCCAATTAAACGCCATACTTTCAAGCATTCCTATCGTAGCAAATAGTATCCATTTGGACATATACGTGGTGTATCAATTAAAGCCTAATTGCTTCTAAATAGAACCCATCTACTCCATAAGCTCTGACGTAAGTACTTTCATCATTTGCCAACCTTGACTCTTCTCAAATGACAATATGCCACCTTTGAAATAAACTTCCTAGTCTGAAATCACTGGACACTTCAACACCTACCACAAGCTCACCAATTGAGAGGTGCAATACCTTTTGTAAGGTAGTTTTATTAATTCTAATAATGCTTCCCTTAACAATACTTGAATCATCCTCCGAATTGTAATTTGTTATATACTCTTCTATCAATTCCACATCAATTAGCGATAAGTTATCTAACCCTTATAGAAATTGATAAAACTGTGTATTTCTAAAAGCTCTTTGCCTTTTTGGGAACCAATAGATTTCCAACTTTATTGATTCCATATTGATAAAAACCACTTGGGACGACAGCCTCAAACTGATCTTAGCTCTCACATTATGGCAGCTTTCTTCTCTGTCCATAGCTCTCTTCATGCTTTCTATTGATATTGTGGAATACTTACTTCTCACTCTTTGCTCACACTAATACTACTTTCTTACTTACTGCAGTAAATC